GTGTTGGTGTCCATCCATCTGTCCCAGCTTCCACTGCCACGTCTATCCCTACCCGGAGAGCGAGGCCAGCCGGGTGGACACCATGAATGGGCTGCACAGCCAGATCCAGGACCTCAGCGTGGTGAGTTGAGCACCAGAACCAGGACCAAGGGGATCCCACCAGGACCCCCCCAGCAGCCCTGACCCACTGCCGGGCGCCCGCAGGTGCTGGAGGAGACGGAGCAGTACCTGGCACAGGTGCTGGACAAGGTGGTGCTGGTCCTGCCCACCTGGCGGGTGCAGGTGCAGAAGATGAAGGCCATCTACCTCGTCCTCAACCAGTGTAGCTTTGATGTCACCAAGAAGTGCCTCATCGCCGAGGTCTGGTGCCCCGTGCAGGACCTGATCCGAGTGCAGGACGCCCTGCGCCAGGCGTCGGTGGGTGGCTCCCTGTGCCCCTGTGCTTGCTTGGTGTCCCTGTGTCCTCGTGCCAGAGGCCGCTCGGTGTCCCCATGTCCTCCTGTGAGGTGTTGCTTGGTGTCCCTGTGCTGGGATTGCTTGGTGTGTCTCCACGTTCTTATGCTACTGATGTTGCTTGGTGTCCCCGTGCCAGGACTGACTCGGTGTCCCCCATGCCCTCATGCCTGGTGTCACTCGCTGTCCCCATGTCCAGAGGTTGCTTGGTGTCCCCATGTCCGCATTCTGGTGTCCCCCATGTCCTCCTGCCAGGGGTCACTTGGTGTCCCCATACCAGGATTGACTCAGTGTCCCCCATGTCCTCATGCCAGAGGTTGCTTGGTGTCCCCATGTCCACATTCTGGTGTCCCATGCCCTCCTGCCAGGGCTCACTTGGTGCCCCCAAGCCCCGGTGCCATGCTGGGGGGGTGCCAGGCCGGGGTGTGGTGCCTCAGGCTCGTGTCCCCCCTCAGTACCAGAGTGGCTCCAGCGTGGAGTGCTTCGTGCAGCGGGTCCCCACCTCTGAGAGTCCCCCCACCCTCATCCGCACCAACAAGTTCACTGCTGGCTTCCAGAACATCGTGGATGCCTACGGGGTGGCCAGTTACCAGGAGGTGAACCCTGGTAAGGACCCCCCTGGACCTCACCCCCCACCCAGGGCTGCAGGGGGGGACCCCTGTGTGACGTGGTCCTTGTGCCCCCCACAGCGCCCTACACCATCATCACCTTCCCCTTCATCTTTGCCATCATGTTTGGGGACGTGGGGCACGGGCTGCTCATGTTCCTCTTTGCTCTCTGGATGGTCCTGAACGAGAAGAGCCCCAGCCTGAGAAAAGCCACCAATGAGGTGAGTGGGACATGGTTGGGACATGGCCTGGGGTCAGGCATGGAAGTATGGAACAGGATTGGAGGTGTGGGACATGGCGTGGGGTGTGGGACAGGGTTGGTGCATGGACAGGTGGGCATGGGATGGGGTTGAGGTGTGAGATGGGGTTGGAGGTGTGGGACGTGGTTGGGGGCATGGGACATGGTTGGGTGTGTTGGACATGGTTGGAAGTCTAGGACAGAGTTGGAAGTGTGGGATGGGTTTGGAGGTGTGGGATGTGGTTGGAACTGTGGGAGTTTGTTGGAGGTGTGGGATGAGGTCGGGAGCATGGGATGGGGTTGGGTATGTGGGATAGGGTTGAGTGTGAGACATGGTTGGGGCATGAGGGAGGTTGGAGGCTTTGGATGTTGTGTGGGGCGTGGGACGTGGTTTGAGATGTGGGACATGGTTGGGGGCATGTGATGGGGTTGGAGATGTGGGATGGGGTTGGCAGTAGAGGATGGGGCTGGGGATGTGGGAGGGGGATGGTGTGGGGCAGAGGGGGTGGGGTGGGATGCAGGAGTCACGTTTGCCCCCTTCCCCAGATCTGGCAGATGTTCTTTGAGGGACGCTACCTCATCCTGCTCATGGGGGCCTTCTCCATCTACACTGGCTTCATCTACAACGAGTGCTTCAGCAAAGCCACCGCCATCTTCCCCTCCGCCTGGAGCGTGGCCACCATGGCCAACCGCTCCTCCTGGAGGTGGGACCCCCAAACCATCCCTTGGGAACCACCCCCCCAGAGGTCCCTGCCTGCACTGACACCCCCCTGCTCTGCCCACAGCTCTGCCTATCTCGCCACCCACCCCTTCCTCACTCTGAACCCCAACATCACCGGTGTCTTCCAAGGACCGTATCCTTTCGGGATCGACCCAGTGAGTGTCCCACGGGGGAGGGGACAGGGAGAGGGGCCCTCAGTGGGGTGACCCCAGTGTCTCACCCACCTTATCCACGACAGATCTGGAGCTTGGCCACCAACCACCTCAACTTCCTCAACTCCTTCAAGATGAAGATGTCCGTGGTGCTGGGAATCGTGCACATGGGCTTCGGCGTCACGCTGGGGGTCTTCAACCACGTGTGAGCTCCCTGAGGCTGCACCCATGGGCTCTGGCCACCTGTGGTCACGCTGAGGGTTGGATTCCTCCAGGTGGGGTGGGCCAGTGGGGTCCTGTCCTCCTCCACGGTGGTGGGAGCTGAGCGTTTTTGATGTCCCCCCTGACCCAGGCACTTCCAGCAGTGGCACCGGCTGGTGCTGGAGCTCCTGCCCGAGATGATTTTCCTCCTGGCGCTCTTCGGCTACCTCGTCTTCCTGATCTTCTACAAGTGGATCAAGTTCAGTGTCGCCGACTCCATGGTGGCCCCCAGCATCCTCATCCACTTCATCGACATGTTCCTCTTCACCTCCAACCCTGGCAACCTCCCGCTCTACCCGGGGCAGGTAGCACCTCACCAAGAGATGGGGGGGGACACACCCTTTAGCCCAAGCTTGGGTCCCCTCCGTGTCACGAGCTGGGCTTGTTCTGGAGCTCGGGGAGGACCCTGCGAGCCGTGTCCCCCTGTGTGTGGCAGGGGGCGGGGCGCGGGG